TTATGAGAATACTGCAAAGCATACATTGCAGTATCCTCGTAATAACCTCGTATTACCTATGCTACAAATCTGGACCGTTCCCATGCAATGCTACATGGTTTGTAATTCAATACGGTTGTCAGTTTTTGTGCACACAAATGAATTCTTCCTTCAGATCACTAGAAATCTGACATTCAGATTTTCAAGCTCCTCTGATTCTATGTTTATGTTGCTTTCTCAGATGATCCGGATGATGCAGGAAGTCCAACATGTGATGCTAATGAGTTTGAATGCAACAATGGACGCTGTATATTGATGGATTGGAAGTGTGATGGTGACAATGACTGCACTGATAATTCAGATGAGGAACCAGAAATGTGCTGTTAGTATATGCCGTTGTACTTGATTCATACTGTGTTAATGTGTGTACGTAGTGACTGGCTGGCAAAAACTAATCGTTTGCACTCGAAAATAAAATAATTGTGTTGATCGCCTCTGTTAATAAAACGACTTATTGGCAATGTTAATCAGTGACTAACATTACTTATCACATATTCACATGCTGGTTGATAAAAATGTAAACATATTACGTCACAGTACGACAGCGTATTTATGTATGATAACATTATATCACTGAATTTCAGGCTCTGTAATAGACCATTTTCCATTCCTTGCAACATCCTGCGTCAAATGTCAGTGTTGTAATGGCATCATGTCATACCATGAGATGCGACAAACACACAAGTATTTTATTAGTATTTCCATGCTTCATAATGTGCTATACACATTTGATGGTGGTCAATTTTAATGAAGTAAGGGTATCTCATTACCATATTCCTTTCAGAACGATTGGCATTTTGACATTAAACTATGAAGAAAGAAATTCAAATTAAATCATTTGATTTTTAGACTGCCTCTTTCACACTTTATGCGATATCTGGCAGGGAACAGAAAATCGCTGTTTGCTGAAAATCACGATTAAAGTGCCGTATTCATTCTGATAGTAGTGCATATACTTAGGTAATTGACAGAGGTGATACTGTAGTCAAAATAAGTCATATTTTAATGATTCAGAACTCTCAATTATTGGTTTATACACATGAGAGTAGATAAAATACTTCTAACGTATGTAGATTGACAGACATTTGAGTGTTTCAGCTTCATTTTGAAGGGTACTTTCTCTGCATGTAAATTTTTTTTTTCACTATTTTAACCTTTTCACCAACAGACTTTCTCGCCAAAATTTTTCTGCACTTTTTTTCTTACAATCATCAATATTTCTGGAAAGGAACCCTAAATTTGGAGCTAACAGACAAAATTTGGGTCAATTTTTAGTTCTCATTCAAAAAAACTTGGCTATTTTTTTTCCAATCTGAAGAAAAGTGCAGACTATTTTGTGAATTTGTGATGAACAGAGAACTGGTGGTAAAAAGGTTAAATGAACACAAATTACATCCCCAATAGTAACATCAACATGTTACTTTCAACAGAAATAAACTGAGCATGGTATTGCACATTTGTGAAATGCATTATGGTAAAGAAATTTACCTTGAATAGAATGGAGAACTATATTATTATAACACTGAAAACCCAACTGTCAATTTGTTTACTGTAAAATACTTATTTTAAGTGGGATTCATTTTCACTGACAAGACATTTTAGCTGTTTTGTATGTAGTTTATTTTCACTGATTTTTGTAATGAGTTGAATGTAAAGTGTAGACTATTTTTTTTTCAGTGAATAACAAACTTTATAGTAATATTTAAACATTATTCATTTAAATATTAATGATTTTTTTTCTTCTTGTATCAGCAAGCAAGATATGAACAAATAATTTCACCATAAAAAAAACAGTGCAAAAACCCAAATTTTGACCATTTTCTGTGACATTTTTGATATTCTTGTTTCTCACAAATTGTATGGTTACCATAATTTTTTTGTTGTTATCATATTAGCCATTAGCTTATGATAATGATAACATGAAGATGATGATATAGCATTTTAAATTTGATCAAACCTTTTTTAAATAATCAATGAAAATATTCAATAAAGAAGTCCATTAACTAAATAGAATTTTTGATTTGTGTTACAGCTGCTGTAACTTGCCGAGTGGATCAATTCAAATGTGCAACTGGTAACAAATGTATCCCTCAACGATGGCTTTGTGACGGGGACAGTGATTGCACAGATGACTCGGATGAGGAGTCATGTGATGGTAAGTTATTTCTAACCTCCAGTGAGAGCATAATTTATGCAAATACCATTCATTTGATATCAGGTTGTATGTATATATAAATGTACAAGTAGGTGGAAACAATTTGTGAACTCCATGACTTTTAATTTTGAACACATCAGCTATTGTAAAGTGTAATAAATCCGCATAAAGCCAAATATTTAAATGGTAAGTTTCTGATTTGTTTGAAAAAAGCTGCTTTTTTGTTTACGTCAAAATACTGTTAAGATGAGAAAAAAGGGCACCACACTGTTTGTTGGAACATCTCCAGACCAGGCCAGAAATATTTTTTAAGTGCTTTAAATTAAAATTTTATCAAGACCTAAAGCAAATAAGTTATGTACAAAATACATAAATATGTGCATTTTTGTGAGATTTGCATTCAAAGCACAGCTTGCAACAAGATAGTTATTCCTAGAGAGCGTTTTTACTTTTCAAATAATACAATGAATATAATGAGGCAGTTCATACTTGTCTCAGTAAATCATTAATTTTCGACAGAGATACCTGTACAAAATACTTGGGCAAAAACCAGCTAAGATTTTCTGTTATCTTGCATGTTTTATGGTTTCATTCACGTCTAAATGCAGCACTATTTCTGAGATATGAGGCATTTGTTTTTATACTAAAATATCTGAACTACTTTGAATAAAGCTAGAAATTATGTCCCTTAAAATAATTTTTCTAATTGGGCACCAATGTTTTTGTAAGATATTTACATCAATCAAGGACATTCGGTAAACTGCTTTCCCACTGCTGTTTTTAATCCTAAAACTTGAATTTTGACAATGCATATTCATATTGAAACAAACTATGATATAGAATATAATATTATATAACAAAGGGCAAGGTCACCAGAGTTTAACCATGTTTGGTACTACAGTGAGTTGTACAATTTTTGTCACCACCAGATTGCATTCTTGTACGTACTTGCATGTACCTTTGAGCTGCAAAGTCAACTTTTGTTTATTATTCACAATTTAAAACCAACATAATTTATTCATACTTTTTCAAACACCAAGACTTGTAGCCAATAATATGCCCATTTGGTACAAAATTATCAAAATAAAATATAAAAGAAATACATAAAAAAGAATAAATTATGCAACAAAAAGGGTTGAGACATTTTAGATATTTTGGTGTGAATTTTTAATATGTTAGTTTTCCAAGGTTTTATTGATTATATAAATAAATATCTTCCACAGCAAGGACTTGTCTAGACACTCAGTTCCAGTGTGCCACTGGGCAGTGCATACCATTAAATTGGAAATGTGATCGTGATGATGATTGCGGTGATTATTCAGATGAACCAGACAATTGCAGTAAGTAACTGTGCACTTATATATTATGTTGTTGTAGGTAACTTGTGGTATTTGTCTGGTGACTAGTGGTATTTGTCAGGTGACTTGTGATATTTGTCAGGTGACTTGATGTATTTGTCAGGTGACTTGATGTATTTGTCAGGTGACTTGTGATGTTTGTCAGGTGACAGCTGTCAAGTGGCAGGTGACAATACATAAATAAAGAAGATAGTCATTACCTTGTTTGAAACAAAGCTCTTTTCAAATTGTGCATACTAACTAGCATGGATGTTTCTATTTTCAGGTTATCCAACTTGTGAATTGAATCAGTTTGCTTGTTCCAATGGAAGATGTATTCCTGAAAATTGGAAATGTGATTCCGGTATGTTTTTCCAGGTTTCAATAGAGTAGGAATAACAACATACCCAAATGCTATTCAAATTCACACTGTGAATACATAAAATTATTATTAATTAAGTCTTATTCTAGAACAGCAACTGTGTTCTGTATTATATTTATCATCTATGTTTTCTTTTCATCTTTGTAACTCCAACAGATAATGATTGTGCAGATAATTCTGATGAGCTACGCTGTCCCACACATACGTGTAATGAAGATACAGAGTTTCGTTGTCGTAGTAATCCACGTTGCATTAACAAAAATTGGGTATGTGATGGAGATCCTGATTGTGAAGATGGTTCTGATGAGGAAAACTGTCGTAAGTTCCTTTTATTATTAGATTTAATATGTGAACTAAGTGCAGTGAATGAACACATGAAAGGAAAGTTTTCAGTAGAACCAGGTTTAACATATCGGTAGAGATCATTCAATATATATGCTGCCATATTTGCAATGCTACACATGTCAGCTACTAAATGTAATTAAAATGGAATTTCATAAGCGCTGCAAATTCTTGATATTTTACCAAGGTTACGCCATGTAAATGACAAAGAGTAAATGGTGGTAATAAAACTTCTGTGGAAACAATGATCTTTTTCATAACATACATCAATATAGGGAAGGAAATGATCAAGTTCAAATGCCATCACATATATGTAGTTGTGATTAAAGAGATACCATCTGGGAAACCAGAAAATGTGAAAATAATCACAGCATCACTATTCATTGTGTCGTGGTGCAGAATCATCAGAAACTGAATATATTTTGTCAAAATTTCTTTTATTTTAAGTAAATTTTCACATATCGAAACTAAACCATGTGAAAGGATTTGATTAATAATTTACAGATGAATAATTCATTGATAAATCATCATTAAAATAATGAATTTATCTCCTTAGCAACTCGTCCTTCTTCTGGTTGTCATGCATCTGAATTTCAATGTCGAAATGGTAACTGTATACCAAAGCGCTGGCTATGCGATAGTAGAAATGACTGTCTTGATGGGGAGCCTGGTTCTGATGAAGAGAACTGTCGTAAGTAGTCAACTAATGTATAGAGCACATCCCAAGATGGAAAAATCTAGTGTACTATTTGATTCTGATAGGGAAGCAATGACTTTAGAAAAATTATATTGTAATATAAAAGAATTTCAATGAAAACTTTTATTATGAAACAGATTTTGTGAGTCATTGGAAATCGTTAAATTTTGTAACAGTGAAGTCCTACAAGATGGAATGTCGATCAGCAACTTTTGCAAAACTTTGTCTAGATGAATGCAAACATTGAGTGGTTTACAGTATCTGTATTCACAATGTTTGATTTGCTGACGTATTGTAATCTTTTGTAGCTGACACGCCTGCAACCTGTGATCCAATAACACAGTACACATGTGATAACAATCAATGCATTGCAAAACGATGGCGTTGTGATGAGGATGAAGACTGTGATGATGGTTCTGATGAAGTTGATTGCGTTGATAGTAAGTATCCATGCTTTGGGGGAGGGGGAATTTTAGTTTGAGTGTGGGTGGGTGTGGTGGGTCATGTTATAGTCATGATCAAATTAAAGCGGGGGAGTCGTCACATACACATGCGTCAGATGGACATAGCGTGTCATTGTTTATAAAGCGTCTACCCATGATCCTTTGTGTTTTTAGCGTGTGTTGTTATCGTCGTGTGGGACTCAATTCCCGTGTGTGTGCAGGTGATAACCCTCCCGCTTTAAAACATCATCTGCACATAAGCGTGTTGTCCACATATGGCCTTTGCGTTTTTAATGAATGAATACATCTCAGTTTGGCAGATATGCCATGTTTAGTTGCTTGGCTCTTTATGAATCATTATTATGAGATATTACTCAGTAGCATCATAGCTAGGCATTATTTGAGGTGTTTATCAAGTGGATAAATGCTTAT